TGACAATAAGAAACGTCAAAAAGATGAAAAAGCATACTACAATATTACAATATTGCCATTGGCAGCCCCCCATACAAAAGTACATGTTTAGCCCACCCATGGCACACACTTTGACGTTGGAGTTGCGGCTGAAGGCACAGTGGATGGCACTTGATGGTGCGACGAAGAGAACCTTGTTACAAGGGGGCATTGTCATTTACCCAAAAATATTTTAAAATATTCAAAAAGGGGTAAATTGGCGCCACCGCCAACAGCATCGGCTCACCTTTCTTTGTTTCTTTCTTTCTCATTCTCGGTGAGGCCGCAGTCACACTCATTCCTTTGTGGTCCACGTCCACCCACTTGATCATCATCCAATATCTGAGATTAATCTTTCATATTACCAATTACGTCGATCATCACCTTTAACGGTCTTGATTCAAGTCCAAAATTTTCCACTCGTGGTAACGGGCGGGCTGAAGGCCCGAAATGAACCCGTGACGTGTCCCCCCTTTTTATCTTTTCACAAAATAGCTTCCTACGAGGCTACGACTGCTGCTATCTTCTTCTTTTCTGCCCAGTGCCCATGTCTATCTCTCTCTTTTTCCTGCGACCCGCGTCTCCGTCAAAAGGCTTTGCCACCCACCGTGCATGTTAACCATGAGCGCCGGCTGATTATGACTGCAAATTCTAACCAGTTCTCTATGCGTTCGGCTTCGGCTTCTGTCAGGGCCCGTTCGAGCAGCCGCTTGCAACCTTGCATTAGGAATATCTCTGATGAAATAAATCACGAGTACGGAGATATTCCCAACGTAAGGCTTTAAAGATTGTTGGCACGGGCTTTGCCCTGACCAGACCTGACCGAAGCCGGGACTCGTTCTCTATACCTTTTATTTAAAGTTTTTAAGCTAAGACAAAGAGCAAAGAAGATCCCTTGAGATTCTAAGGTATCGTTAGAGCTCTGCATCATCCCTCTTTCTCTATCTTATTGACGCCAAAGTTATTAAAGAGAAGAAGATAAGAAAAGACATGGGCGGGGCGATTGAGGAGGATGAACGGGAATTGACGCCGGAGATTAAGATGCGATTTCCAATCAGCGAAGGAGACGTTGACAGAGAAGGGGAAGAGATTTTCGTCCCTCCTCTCAACTTTGCCATGGTCGACAGTGGCGTCTTCCGTTCTGGATTCCCAGATACAGCGAACTTTTCCTTCTTACAGACCCTCGGTCTTCGTTCAATCATGTTAGTCAAATATAATTGCCTCCTATCTTTCTCTCTCGCACTTTCAGTTGTCTTCCTCTGTAATTTCGATTTTTGTTGTGCTTCATGAAATGTTTCATTGATTAGGGTTTTGATTTTGTCAATTTGTGTAGATATCTTTGCCCGGAACCTTATCCGGAACCTAACACCGAGTTTCTTAAGTCGAACGGGATTCGTCTTTTCCAGTTTGGGATTGAAGGGTGTAAGGTACGGTTACTTATGTTGTTATCCAATCGTTGTTTTGAAGTTAGTTTGTTAGTTTATACGGCTTGCATGTTTGATGGACTTGAGACTGGACATACACTCTAGATGAAGATAGTGGTCATGCCATCCAGGCTACGGCTATCCAACTGAGCACGGAATGCAGAAATACTAGAACAGTGAGGGAACTCTAAGTATGAGTTCAACTGATCCAACTGTAATAGTGATTGACATTGATCAACATATCTAATATTTACCGATTTGAGCTCGTAATACTCTAATGCCATTTAACGTTTTCTGCAATTCTGTCTATTCTTCCTTATCAACACGAGAGTGCGGTGTAATTTTTTTCTTCCCTATGCTTCTAACATGCAAGTTCTTTAATTCTCCAGATCTGTTTCTGTTTTTATTTTGATCAATAGATCTTTTTCTTCCCTATGGGAAGATTAGGACACTTTCGTACACTTCTTTTCTCCAGAACAAGAATTACGAGACCGGATCTTTTGCTCCTCTTGAGGAAATAAGGGTCTGTTAGTGTCATGTCTATTTCATATACCAGTTGTCATTCATTATGGCATCGATTAGTTTCCAAAGGATCCTAAATTTCAAAAGCCACTCAACTTATCAAAGTCAAACCATTCCTTGTGAATCTGAATCATTAATCAAACCCACCAACCTGCATGGTTATGGCAACTCTTCTTTTAGTGGGAAGTAACAGTTTCAAACCTGCTAGATTGGTCTTTTGCTTCCTCCTTAGGGGTTGAGTCAAGTCCTTTCTGCTGGCCTCAAGTGAGGCCAACCATGTGTAAAATAGGATATAGAGGGGAGTATCCAATATACCCTTCAATAACTGATACAGTAATCTGTTCTTCTGTTTAAAACATCCTTCTGAAACTTTTCACTTGCCATATGTACACCCAAATGACACCTTTTTTTTTTCCTTCCATGGTGAACTTTAGAAAGCATGTCTGCTGATTGCTGACATGTACACATTGAAAGAAGTACATTTCATGCACCATATCTCCAGTTCTCTACTTCTGTCATATAATTTTTGTTATTGGAAATAATTTCTAATTTTGTTTTATTTTTTATTGGTCGTTAACTTTTAATTTCTAGAAATACTCAAATTCTTACCGGCCCAGAATGTGACTTGGCAGTGTTTTTTGTATTTCATTTCTTTATATATACTGATTCATATATAGTCCTATTACATATTACATATCATCATTAAGTACATAAGTTGAGATGGAGCGAATAGCCAAGGCTAAGTTGATTTTTAAACATTTAAGACTTGGAAGAAAAATGTGTGCAAATACTGCACTACATACATTCCCCCCCTATGGATGTCCCGAGTATATCCATACTGTTTGCATAAGGTTCATAAAGATGTAGCAGAATCATGAGCCAGTGCCAAGTATTGAAAGAGAGAGAGAGAGAGAAGCTATTGGACTTCTTTTTTTGAAGTGATATTTGAAAATTTCCATTCCATGGAACAGACATTGTAATTCATTTAAGGTGCCATGTAGAACTGATGAAAGGTCCTTTCTACTTGTACGGATATAAGGAAGGTATTCGTCACGTTTTTACATTTGCTAGGAAGATACTGATTTAATTAAAGATTCCAATGGTAGAAGAATTGCCTTGGGAGACTTTCTGCTTGGAAGATATGATATTGCAATCAACAAAAAGTTGGTGGTCATCAAGTATTCAAGTTCTGTATTTATGTTGTCACTTGAGAATTTTCTTTCAACAGAAAATCTTGTCATTTTAATGAGGACCCAAGTTAATTTTATTAAGTCCCCAAGTATGTCCTGTCCAGAGCCTGGGTCTTGTCTCTACCATGGAGCCTGAGACCAATGAAATTCAGTCTCCCGATATACTCTAAATCTCTAATAGATACTTTTAAGTTTTAGCCTTTGTATGTTACTAAAGTATATTAGGAGGATTGATGTTTGTTTTTCTTCCTGGTGGCAAGTTTGGACTTTGGGAACATTTGAAGTGAAGTGAATTGCTCTTTATCATGAGTAAATGTAGTTCTTATGTTTTTCTGTAGTACTGTAAATTTGGAACGACATGCAGTGTTGCATGGAAACATAGGAATCAGAATCTGGTATGTGTCCGGGAGCCTGACTCAACAAGATAAATAAAAGGGGTTCAATTACACATTTATAGAAAAATGTAAGCTATTAAAGCAGCCGCATGTTATTTTGAATTCTAACATATATAATCTATAAAAAAAGGTCTAAAAGTTTATCTCCATTTGCTAATAGCATTTTATAGGAAAACGACATTCATTGTGTAAATCAGATCTTTATTCATGTAAAAAATGCAAGATAGAAAGGAAAATGTTATTTAGAAGTGGCCCTCAAGAACCCATTGAATGTAGGTGTTCAACCTGTGTCTGACATGGATATCCCATCCATTTTGGAGAGTCCATACAACACTGATGACATGACATTTTTATGCAAGTTGTTATTTGGAGTCTGATAGAGCACATTTAAACTCAGAGTCTTAAAGAATGAGTGTCTCAGACAAATATAGATTATAGAGTTGTACTCTGCATCTGTCCTGTTATCATGGATAATTGCAACTTCTGTTGCTATTGCATTTAATAGTTCTTAAATTCATTTTTTTGGGTAGATGACCCCATATAGTTGGCACAAGACTTGGATGATGATGATGAAATTCATTTTTGGGATTTCCCTGGAATAGATGCTAATGTTAGAGTCAGACTTAGAAAATCCATGGGCCATGGCTGGAAAGACTTCGTAACAACATTGGTTTTTTACTAAGGTGACAACTACATTCTGTCTCTTTGATCACCTTTTATTTATTTATTTATTTATTTTTCAAATTGAGCCCAGTGGTTCTAATGACTTGCTAATGGTTACTTTATGAATTGTTTGTCCATTACATGAAAATAAAAGAAAAGAATTAGAGTGTATGATTAAATTGAGTAGGCAATATTGGCACTTCAAGAAAATAAGCATACAGGCTTATCAAAAAGAAAAAAGAAAAAAAATGCATACCCTGGCTATGTGAGCTGTGAATCAGTTTGTTGAGTTTTTAGGCTAACGGCAAGTCCTTTTCAGAAGTTTTATTGACTCTGTTGTTTATGTTTCATTAATTTCTTTGGAACTTGCATCATGAGATATTTAATAAATGAAAAGTCATTGGCTATTTCAAGTTGAGTAATATCATCTTGTAGATGAACCATAACATGAATTATATGTGGTTTATGAAGGAACAAAGTGATGGTCGCCTTCTATGCTTTCTCAAATTGATCTTGTCTTCCCTTCATTATCAATAAAATATAAAAGTGTTGAACTTTTTTTATGAAAAAGAGCTTATAAAAAAAAAATACTACTTTGTTGGATGAAACCATTATTTAGTAAACATAACATGATTGGATTCTCACTTCTACTGATTAACTTAAAAGTGTATACAAGACCATCATTGATTCTTAAACTAAATAAATTCCTAGGTTCCTCCCTGAAATTTTAGGATCAGCACAATTTAAGCTCCCTCCTGCTCTTCGATGCAACTTGGAAGCTGAGGTAGGTGTAGCCTCAAACATCCAGGTAGCTGTGCCCAGAGATAGGAAGAGCAAAGAAGAAAGAGATGAGAGATGAGAGATGGAGAAGAATGAAAAGGGAAGATTACAGGGTAGTCTAACCACCTTGTTCATTCATGGGATTGAATTTGACCACTGTCTGAGAAAAATCCCTCCTTGCAAGAAAGGAAACAGGTTGTAGGCTCAAAATGTGTTATTCCATTAACTTGAAAATGAAGTTTATCGTTCTTATTGGGGAAAATCCTAAGAAGTTGAAAACATAAAGCAAGTAGGGATAAGATATAGAATGGTTTATAGGTATTGAAAATGAGCATTGTCATGGACCTTAATTCATGAGCTTCATATATTTGGAGTGTTATGGTCCTAAATGTCAAAGTGCTTGCCATGTTAAGGCTTTTGGTGTATTGGTCAAGCGCATAACAGATGGTATCAAAGCCTACTACCACGTCTGAAGTTCAAGCTGCTAGAGGGTTGCCTCGGAGAAGGATTACCTAGAGCAAAGTGAAAGCTGTCATGGAAAGGGCCAACTGAAGCTGAGTGAAAGATGCTACAGGAAAAGGGCCACCTGCCACTGGTGAGAGTTGCCCAAAGTGAAGGTCACTGAGACGTCAGCCATGGAAGCATGGTGGTATGTTACGGTTGTAAATGTTAAGGTGCTTGGCTTGATGTGTTCCAACAGGAAGGGTTTTAGCGTATTGGTCAAACACATAAAATGGGGCCTGCCAATAGGGAACTTTGTATTTATGAGTCCATGATTATAGGCGGGGTTCAATCTGACTGTGTGGCCTTGTTCTTGGGTAAAACTATTGGATTACAAGGCATAAAGTATCATCAAACAAATGAGAGCGCTTGATGCCGGATTCCATATTATTGCTTGTGTTTCTTGAATGTCTCAAGTTATGTAGGATTGTGATCTGGGATGAGTTTTCATACTAAATTTGGTCAGTAATCATATAATGTTCAACTTTTTGTCATTATAAATCATTTGCAAATATGTTTGCACATTGAATAATAGAAAAATATTTTGATTCTTTTTTCATCACCACTGTAGCATAATATTTAAAAAATAGCTACTCTTATTGGATTGTATTTTTTCTAAACGTAAAGAAGTTGCTACTTTGATTTTTTGGATGGTAGACATGACAGTGATGTATAATTGCTTATTTAATCTATGTAGTCGTATAAATTCTGTCGTTTTATCCTTTTTCCTCGATTTTTGCTTGTTATTCAGTCTCTGTGGGAAACTTGGTCTCTTAAACAAAGAATCTTGACAACTGTGCTTGTACCTTGAAAACAAATTGAGCCTACTTCTTGAATAACTTTCCGTTATTACCAGTGAATACTGATTAATGTTATAGAGTTCTGCCGGTTGTGCATATTACCAGTGAATACTGATTAATGGTGGGTTCTGTGTTTGGTTATGGGATGTATACCATGCCATCTTGTTCTCTGATTATATTATTTTTGTTGTTTTTGCATTATGCTCTTCTCTGCACATGCTATTCTTTGAAGCTCTTTTTAGCTCCAATGGAACTCCTCTCCCCCTTGTTGCTTCTGTAGTTGTCAACACATGTGCTGATATGATATGAAAGATGTAATTTTGGTGTTTCTCCATTTACAACCAGTGAGGAATGTAGTACAAAGTGGAGTGTAGCAGGTTAAATAGATAGCAGGAACCCTCATTTAGTGGGAGTTGCTCGTGAAACTATATTTGAGAAGTAGAAAATACTTGGTGGATCCTTTTGAGATCTGTCTCCATCAGCTGATCTGGAAAATATAAAGGTTTGACTTTTATTTTGTACTTGTTGAACTATACATTTGTAAAAGCAACATGTATTGATGGGAAAAAATTGATTGTGTAATTCGCCTTCATGTATGAACTGATTTCTGAGTTGCTTCATTTAAGAAGAGAAAGCAAAATCTTTTCCCAGATATTGATTACTGAGGTTGTGCAATGTAGGAACCTTGGGTTAACATTCCAGAGGATATGATTCGTGAAGCACTAAAAGTCGTCCTTGGTACCGAAAATATTTAAATCATAGGTTTGTTATTATGACCAACAGAGGTTGGTTTCCTAGTTGCTTACCAGTCTGTCTGCCATGCAGATTCAAGGAACCGCCCGCTTTTAATTCATTGCAAAAGAGGGAAGGTAACATGAATTCACAGTAATCTGAACATTGTGTTTCTCTGACCGTTGATTTTGGAATCTCTTGAATGCCTCTTAAATCGTCTTTTTGTTCTGTTCATCCAGCACCGGACTGGTTGCCTCGTGGGATGCTTAAGGAAATTGCAGAGGTGGTGTTTATCTTCAATCTTTAATGAGTACCAACGTTTTGCTGCGGCAAAAGCTAGAGTTTCAGATCAGAGGTTCATGGAGTTATTTGATGTTTCCAGCTCGAAAAACCTGCCAACTTCGTTTTCATGCTCAAAGAGGTGACAAACTCGTTATCAAAGGGAATTTGACGAGCTCCATGACGTTGATCTACTTTGGCCAAAATAAGCAGCGGAGTAAGTTTTTAACTCGGCCGGTAACAAGGGATATGCACCGTGTGGCGGTGGCCACCGCCAACCGGCAAGCCATTCTTTCCTTTTTCCAAGCTTAGATTAGATATCGCATTTGCTGTTACAACTTGCATGGACATAAAGACCACTGTTAGAATATCAGTCATCGTTGGTTTATCAGCGGTCAAGTTAATCATGTTTAATCCACATGATTACCTATTTATTCGTGATTTTAACATGTTGAGAGATGGGATTTCTGAAAAGGCTCATAATTATGTAAATTGAATCCGATAAGCTCAAGGCAAGCATGCAGATCAGACCTTTAATCATGTTCACCGGCTTGCGTTGTTTCAAATCCGCTAGCCATTTACCGAATGTACAAGTGACAAGCGCTTAGATGTATCAAGGTATGGTCCCTATAAGCTAGATAGAATATTGGGGAAATAGAAACAATTCGTGGGGACCAGGCATACCAGGATAAGATCAAGAAAATGTACCAAGATTGTAGAACATATTAGCGTGAGAAATCCTTACTGTCAAAGAGAGGATTGATGGCTATTACAGTTTCTCAGAAAATTAACAGATTTCGAGACATGATATTTTTTTCCTTGTTGATATTGGTGAAATAGTTCCTCATATCATGAACCAACAAGGAGTGTAACAACAGTGCCAACTTTGGGAGAGACGGCGAATACGAGACTGGTTTAGCAGAACCAAAAGTAATAGAGAAGGGAAGGACACCTTCATTCTACAGAGAATATCTCGAATCCTGCCGATGATTAAAATAAACTCAAGGATGAGAATGGAAGAGCGCATCAGTCATATGAGGGTAATCTCTTCACATTGGATGTGCATTTCCAAATCTGTTCAAAGTGAAGATTGAATAAAAGACACATCATCTGCACTCATCCACAACGTCGCATACCAGACATCAGATGAAAAACCCTAAAATAAGTGAAGGGAAAAATGGCAGAATTAATAAGGAAGGAAAACAAGGAGATACAGAGGAAAATGTCGACGAGCAACAATCGAATCGCCAATCTATAAAACGGCGACTGAAACGATATCTCGCCTGGTTATTGTTCCTCCGCTTTCGTTCAACGAGAGACAACCGTGGAACGCCTCTCATTCTCTGTACCAAGCAGAGCGACGACATCCAAACAAAGAAAAAGAAACGAAAAACAACAACTAGAAATTAGAGGGGGCGGGGGTTTGAAGGAGGGAGGGGGGAGGAAAACGGCGAAGGCGAGAGGCGAGAGGCGAGAGGCGAGAGAGCAAGAGCAAACCCTAGCCTCATGCTAGAAAGCAAAAGCAAGAGTGAAGCCTGGCAGAGGTCCTTAAGATAGACTTCAATTTATAGATGGCTGCCCTTCTCTCATTACCAAAGTACCCCTGTTAGCTCAAACGTAAATTACAAAAAAAAAACCGTGGGCCGTGAACTGTAGGTGTGTAAATGATGATCATGATCTGATCATATTTTGTCGGATTTTGATATTTGGGTCAAGTTTTCGAATTCTGATATTTGCGGTCAGGTTTTCCAATCCGATCGTATTGGATCATCGGATCCGATTAAAAAACGGATAGGATAGTTTTTTTTTTGTAGAAGAAAGTTTCCATTAAAGTAAACTAAGAGAGAAGGACCAACAAGAAACAACGAGGAAAAGCAAAAACTACGAGAAAGAAAATCGAAAAACTTAAAAACAAGATTAAGATGGCGTTTAATAAATCTAAAATCTGAAGTTTAAAAAGTTAAAAAGATATTAAGAGTGTTTCAAATTTGAAAAGAGATATAGATGCTTTTTTAGTTTTTAGAAGCTCTTAATAGATAATGTTGTTTGTGTTGGATCAATTTTGATTACTTTGTTTTACCCCTAGCATAGGCTATTTTGTAATTTTGAATGCAATTAGTACTATTTTATATAAAATAATTTATCAAATTCAAAATAATATAGGAATCATACAAAAAAATTAATGAAATAAATAATAAATAATAATAATAATAACCAAAAACAATTAATAAATAATAAATAACACAATTCAATTAATAAAAATAATTAATCACTAACAAAAATATTAAAATGATTAAAATTTAATAAAAATAAAAATAATCAATAAAAATAATTATTATTTATTTAATTATTATTCTGTGAAAAATTCTTTTGGATCATTCCCATTATCTTTTTCTTGATTTGAAATTTCAAATAGCAAAAGAAAAGTTATATTTATATAACCATTGCCTACAAAACAAGGAATGCTAAATTTATACATTTCAAATAGCAAAAGAAAAGTTATATTTGAAATTTCAAATAGCAAATGAACTCTTTCCGAAGGAAAACCAAGATGCAAGTTACAAACCTACTACAAGAAATGTTATCATGGGCAGACCAACTATCAAAAACACGAATACATGAGATCTCAAATACATAAAAAACAAAAAAAAAACTAACAAATTCAACATTTCAAACACAAAAATAAGAGAACATAGCTACAACCCAATCAAAAATGGAAAAAAAGAAAAAGGTACCTATTAACTAAACTTGATCGTATCGAGATTGGTTTCCTATTATTGAGATTTGAAGGCGAATATCGAAAATAAATGGAATTAGAAGTTCTAGGCACAAACGAATATATGGGCAAATGGCAAAAGGATGTACTTTGAATGTTCTAGAGAATGCCATTAGAGAGATCGCAAATAGAAACAGAAAAACGAATAATCAGCGGTAATTTATTGCACAAGCAAGAAACAACGAGAATGGAGAGAAATTGAAGCATTAACTTGTGGAAGAAAACGTGAAGAAATCGAAGTCTGCAAATAGAAACCATACCTATGAAATATCTTGATGGCGGTGGAGCTTCACTCAGGTTGTAGTGATGGTTCGAATGACCTAATTTTTGAGCTTATATGAAGGACAAAACAACTCATTTTAAATTTCTACGAGGGCATTTATGTATTTCACACACCTCGGCTGACCGCATTAAAGACCCAGTCTGCCTCTTATCAATTAAGATTTGAATTTGGGTTTCAGATCTTCTAATAAGAGGGCATACCAAATGAATGTGACATCTAAAAACAACCTTTTCAAACTTCAGAGGTCTGAAATGTGTTATCAAATGCCACCTAACTAAACTAAATCGGAAGACAGCCCGGGAGAACATCGTCCCACCGCATCATCGATTGAAAACCTGCTTTTGCAAGCTTGTGGGCTGCTAAATTCACATTGCGGAGACACCACAAGAATTTGATTTCTTGACTTTCATAGATGCTAACCAAATCTTCTTTAATGAAAACCAAATCAGCTGCACAATGGGGAGAAGAAGTATTAAGGTATGAGATCAATTGTTGACGGTCTGATTCAAAAATCGTTTAATGAAGACCTTTTCCTTTTGTTGCTTTCATTGCTTCCAAAAGAGCAAGAGCTTCAGCTAGGAGAGGAGAGTTTGTTGTAAGAGTACCACACACAGCCTAGGAAACATAGCCACCTGAATCTCTTGCAATGAAGCCAAAAGACGGCTTGTTGGGATCCTTAAAACCTCCATCGACGTTAACCTTCACAAAACCATAAGAAGGAGGGTTCCAAAAAAGGGAATGGCCTTGGTGCCTCTCAACTGAAGAGCTTTCCAATCTCTGCTGCAAGAGCAAAGATGTCTCTGTTGTCGACCTGTTTAAACAATCAATTATAGAAGATGGGTCAATTGAGATATTTTCAAAATAAAAACTACTACTATCTTTCTAGATCGCCCATAGTCTAAGGACAAGTCTTACTAATATTTCCAGTTGACCAAGAAGGAGAGATCTCAGAGTCTTTTCAAACCAATCACCAAAACTATGGGAGTTATCAATTTGGTCAGTCAAGAGGCCTAGGTTTGAGCCAAACCAAATGCATTTCCTTTTATCACAGTAAAAAAGAGCATGCGTCACAGATTCAATCTTCTAATCACACCGAAGACAAATAGGAGAGTGTAGGAATTTTCTTTTGTAGAGGTTTTCATTTACAACCAAACTATTGTTTGAACATCTTCGAAGGAAATTTTTTACTTTTGGTTCTACTGGAAGGTGCCAGAGAGTTTTCCAAAAGCCTTGATCCTTGCTTGGACTCTCTCCTAAAAGGGATGATTTGGTTACCATCTGAGAAGCAATGTAGTAGGTTGATTTAATTGTAAATTGGCATATCTTAGAACTGATCCAAAATATGCCTATCATTCCACAAGTTAATGGGGAGTCTAATTTGAAAAAAAAAAATCAGTTGTCCCATCTATAAAGAACTGCTTTACTTTTTGAATATCCCAAGACTTTGTTTCAGAGTTTATCAATTGAGAGACCTTCACATTCTGATCTGCATTTGGTACAGATCCCGAAGGCTTACAATTTTCCAGCCCCAAAAATCCATGGATCCTACCACATGTTGGTAAGGTTCTCATTTCCAACTTTCCAAAGCAAACCCTTCTCAACCACTTCTCTTCCTTTCAAAATACCAGTCCAACCCCAAGATTGGCCACCTTTGGCTAAAGCCCTAAGGAAGTGAGAGGCTGGGAAGTACTCTGCTTTCATCACCTTTGCCCATAAGCTTTGAGAATCATGGCATGGCCTCTAAGCTAACTTAGCTAAGAGAGCTAGAATGAAAGCACGAGGGTTTCTAAAGTCCAAACCACCATTGAGCATATTTTTAGAGATTTGATCCCAAGCTACCCAATTGACTTTTCTTTTACCCTCACTCTCTCCCCACCAGAATCTTCTTTGAATTCTGGTTAGCTCCTCACAAACTCTCTTTGGAAGGAGAAAATTAGACATACAATAAGAGGGAACAACAGTTAAGATCGTTTTAATCCTTACCTCCTTTCTTGCTTGAGAGAGGAGAGAGTCTTTCCATCCTACTACTCTTGAAGCAACTCTCTCTAAAATGTAATTGAAAAATTGACATTTATTTCTATCTATCATAGGGTAAATCCCCAAATAAATAGAATGATTGTCCACTTTTTTTAAATTGAGGGCCTTGGATATTATTTTCTTAAAATTTTCATGCACATTCGAGCTAAAGAAAATTTCAGACTTTTCATAATTCGCCTTTTGACCCGAAGTTGATTCATAAGATGAAATTGTCTCCAGGAGTTTTCCACCTTCCTCTAGGCTTGTTGTTGTGAAAATAAGGCTATCATCTGCAAAAAAAAAGAGGTGAGAAATCATTGGGGCTGTTCTTGCTTTTTGTTTTCTTCATGTGATGCATGACTTCATGAGCAAGAAGGACATTGACATTAATCAACCTATAAAAAAGGAAAGCACTCTGATTTGGTGAGATCACTTTTTGCAAAAAGGGTTTTAATCTATTTACTAAGATTTTACCAATAATTTTATATCCTATGTTGCACAAACTTATAGGTTTGAAATTTGAGGCTTCCACTGGGTTTTTGTTTTTTTGGGATTAGGGCAAAAAAAGTGTGATTCATATGCTCCCTTAGGACTCCTTCTTGGAAAAAAGTTAGAATTTCCTTCTGTAACAAATCTCTGGAGCTCTAAATCATGTTTTTTAAAACTGACCCGGTGATCGAACCAGTCAGGGGTCCGATTACCGGGTCGAATCATTTTAACAAAAAAAAATTAAAAAATGGTCAAAACCGTTCGAACAATTCAAACGGTTAACCGACTGGTTCAGTGGATTGTTGACCAAAATCAACGGTTTTGAGGGAAAATGGAACCAGTCAGGTGACCGGTTCCCAGTTTTTCCGGTCCGACTGTCTAGTGCGGTCTGGTTTTGAAAACCATACTCTAAATTATCCTCCTCAGATGTTAAGGGGGGAGATTCCCTCCAAGATTCCATTACTGGGGACAGGGTTGGAGGTTGAAAAAATCTCATTAAAATGGTCAAGAAGCACCTTCTCTATACAATCATGAACTTCAACCCAAACTCCAAAAGCTTTTTTTTTTTGGATTTTATTTCTGGCTCTCTTTCTAATGGTTGAAGTATGAAAAAACTGAGTGCTCGTATCCCCCTCTCTC